TCCTGAAAAGTGATTGAATAGATTTTTATGACCTAAGATTTTTTATTTTTGTCACGCTCCAGCATATTTTTAAGAAGTGTTCCACAAATGCTAAGCAGTAAAGCTTAGCTAAACTGCAGACTCAAGTTTACTGAAGAAAGTACCCAAGGAAGTGAACTCAACATTTGTAGTAGTAAATATGTATTGAACAGCTGTTAACTATCAATATATGGTCAGCTCTGTAGCAGGATCTAGGGATAGTGTTTTTCAAATTTAATCACGTGTAGTGGGTAATTAAACCAGTAATTAAATCATTAGCTTATAATGCTGTATCCATGTGGGTACTTTACATGTGATTAGATAATTTGTATAATTTTTAATAAGAGTCGACATTTACTAGGTCAGGTTGACATTTACAAGAAGAACAAGTTGATTAGGTGTAGAAGTAGAATAGTAAAAACATTGAATAGATGTAGAATTAGAATTCCTAGCCAGGCTTATCTTCCAAGTCTGACCTAGCCACCGATCTGTGAGCTAGACCAGCCTCACAGAACTCTAGGCTCCTCCAGGTTTGTGAAAGAAGTTAGATGCCTGCTTTGTAGATTCTGTTGTGAAGATGAAATGAGGTAAATAAGTGCCAAGGATAGAGCCAGGCATATTCTTTCTCTGCTTATGTTACCATTTCTAGTACATGTACTAATTTTTGAGACCTTTAAGAACTATGACATCTGAAATAATGAAACTGTAGCTTTTCAATATTTAAGGAAAAAAAGTAAGTGGCAAATAGAATGTTGCTTTGAGTATTATATATGCTTGTATATATGTGTGTGTGTAACATGCAAAGCAATGTTCTATTTGGAGTTTCTCCTAAAATAATGAATATATAATGAGATATATGTGTGTATGCATGTGTATTTTTAATATAGTTTCTTTCGTAGCCCAATTCTTTTCTTCTGTTCCCTGAATCGCTGTACTTGTAGACAAGTAGTTCACAAAATTAGGTACTTATCATAGGTAACTGGGGAATTTGTTAAAACACAGATCAATGTGCCTCATCTCTAATGGTTTACTAGTTCCGGTGTATGGCCTCAAGGTTTGCATTTCTGCCAAGTTTCCAAATGATGTTGTACAGAAGGTCCACACATTGTGCTTTAGAGTTACTGGTTTAGATTTTTCAAAGTTGTACTCATGCTGCCCACATTAGGATTATATATTCTGTTAAATCAGAGGAAGAGCTCTCTAAGTAATGCAAGCTGAGTAGTTAAGGGAGATGTACTTTTAGTATTTTTTGTCTATCTGTATTTCTAAGTGTAAAAGTTACAGTCTGGCTTGAAAAGTCAGATCTTACCCTATTTAAAGAGTTGGCATGAAGATCTGCTTTAGCTTAAGTTCTCAGCGTCACAAATAAAAGTTTAAAGTTTACTGCACGCAGAACTGAATATCTAGTATAGGAATAAAGTACAGTTGTTCTTTTCTTTGAAGAATTCTGATAAGAAATTGAACATGAAAGAGAACGTTCCATTTCTTGCTTTGTTTAGTCGGAGCCTTCAGCTGTACATATAATTATTAATATTACTTCATAAAAACTTTTTCTAGTAGAAATTTCACTCTTTCTCTAACACATGTTTTCTATAATATGCTTATCTTGGCAATTTTATTTCTTCATCTGTTTATTTTGCAAATACTGACTTTCCTTTTCCAGGAAAAGGAAAGGTAGAGGGATTTCTCATAGGACTTAACACAGCACTAGATATGAATTAAGAATTAATAAATAATATGATATATATTTTTTAATTGCCAGAGAATGCACGTGGTGGGGCATGGTCATATCATTATCTATGCTACTCTGTTTCTCCATCCCGTCAGGATTTGGGGCATGCACACACACACACACACACACACGCACACACACACACACACACTTCCAGCTTGTTTACCAAGCCACCAGGGCCGTTTACCATTCAGTAGAACTCTGTCTTCTCTTCAGATGTTTATTTGGTAAAAATTATAGTGAAATACAGAGTCTAGCTAGTGTCAGCATTGCTATGAGAAGTCTGGTTTTAATTTTGTAAGACCGTATGGAAATGTGCCACAGTATTTTCAATCGACTCACCATCACTAAAAACCTATTATTAGAAACAATAATATATTTCCTAACCATAAACTCTCTTAAGTCTTCTGTTTATTCTTTCAAAGTTTCTCATTCTCTTTTTCTCCCATAAACTTATTATACATAGCATTTTCTACTTTGTTTCAGTCTGATTTCAAACTAGGAATTTGCCATTTTAATTTAGTAACTCATTGATTTATTTAACATTTATGATATGCCTGTTAGATGCCAGCCTCTGTACTTGACTCTAGGGATATGAGGATGATTTTACCCTGCCTTCTAGGAATAAATAATCTAGAAGAGAAAAACTAGTAAGTGATGGATTGCACTGTACTGTGACACTTGCGCTAATGATGGTAGACATGACTTTATAACATATCTGTCAAGTCTGACTTAGTGTCTGCTCTTTAACATTGAGATGCACACCGTTCTTTCCTTTTTAGGTCCTTTTCCATGTGATATATGTGGTCGTCAGTTTAATGACACTGGAAATTTGAAACGCCATATAGAATGTACGCATGGTGGGAAGAGAAAATGGACTTGTTTCATCTGTGGAAAATCAGTACGAGAAAGGTAAAGAATTATCTGCACACCTAGAAAACTTCTAGTACAGTTAGGAAGAAGTAATGAATATGTTTTGTAAGACTTAGAATAACACAAGTTCATAATACTTGAATTGTACTTTAGTTTGAAATAATAAAAACAAGGAATTATGTAAAATACTATAGAAGATGGTATAGATTCAGGATTTGGAGGTAGAGGGATTTCTCATAGGACTTAACACAGCACTAGATATGAATTAAGAATTAATAAATAATATGATATATATTTTTTAATTGCCAGAGAATGCACGTGGTGGGGCATGGTCATATCATTATCTATGCTACTCTGTTTCTCCATCCCGTCAGGCTTTGGGGCATGCACACACACACACACACACACACACACACACACACACACACACTTCCAGCTTGTTTACCAAGCCACCAGGGCCAGGATCTGAACCATGGTTGGCCATGTGGGATCTGGCCTGCTTTGCACAGTACTCAACCACTGCTATACAGGGCCACCCCGAAATATTAGCTATCTTAAATAGTGAGCATGTGTTGAAGCAATGAGTACTTTGAGGTCATCTCTCATTTTTAATGTGCAAAACATGCTGTCATTTCCCCAAAGCTACTGTGGCTCCTAAGCACGTTAGCTTATCGTTGTTTCTGAATTCCAGCATCCAGATTTCATTTTCTCCCATTGTGCTATTATGATGAGTTCATCATTAGAATTCCATCCGTCTTCAGTTTATCCTCCCAAATCCTACAATATCTGCCTCCAAACTTAGAGTTTCCTTGAACTTTATCTACTACTTTTACAAACATCCTTTGTCTTCCTTACAGTTTACCATTCAGTAGAACTCTGTCTTCTCTTCAGATGTTTATTTGGTAAAAATTATAGTGAAATACAGAGTCTAGCTAGTGTCAGCATTGCTATGAGAAGTCTGGTTTTAATTTTGTAAGACCAGATGGAAATGTGCCACAGTATTTTCAATCGACTCACCATCACTAAAAACCTATTATTAGAAACAATAATATATTTCCTAACCATAAACTCTCTTAAGTCTTCTGTTTATTCTTTCAAAGTTTCTCATTCTCTTTTTCTCCCATAAACTTATTATACATAGCATTTTCTACTTTGTTTCAGTCTGATTTCAAACTAGGAATTTGCCATTTTAATTTAGTAACTCATTGATTTATTTAACATTTATGATATGCCTGTTAGATGCCAGCCTCTGTACTTGACTCTAGGGATATGAGGATGATTTTACCCTGCCTTCTAGGAATAAATAATCTAGAAGAGAAAAACTAGTAAGTGATGGATTGCACTGTACTGTGACACTTGCGCTAATGATGGTAGACATGACTTTATAACATATCTGTCAAGTCTGACTTAGTGTCTGCTCTTTAACATTGAGATGCACACCGTTCTTTCCTTTTTAGGTCCTTTTCCATGTGATATATGTGGTCGTCAGTTTAATGACACTGGAAATTTGAAACGCCATATAGAATGTACGCATGGTGGGAAGAGAAAATGGACTTGTTTCATCTGTGGAAAATCAGTACGAGAAAGGTAAAGAATTATCTGCACACCTAGAAAACTTCTAGTACAGTTAGGAAGAAGTAATGAATATGTTTTGTAAGACTTAGAATAACACAAGTTCATAATACTTGAATTGTACTTTAGTTTGAAATAATAAAAACAAGGAATTATGTAAAATACTATAGAAGATGGTATAGATTCAGGATTTGGAAGTTTATATCTAGAGTTGATTTAACATACATATACTTATAACTCTTTATGAACCCCCACTTAAAGCACATTAAAGGAGTTTTGTTTCAGATTTTCAAAGATGATAAGCTACAAAGACAGGGAGAACAGAGAGGTGACAAGAATGACACAGGTTTGGAAGCTGTAAAGCAGATGGCTCGGTGGAAGCTACTTAGCAGATCTAAGGAAGCCAAATCCCACAGTGGCAGTGGAGAAATAGGAGAAATGATTTACATCACAGAATCTATAAATGTATAGGAACTGGCAGTGTCTGGCATCTCTGGCGTTGGGGTGAAGAACAGGCAGAAGAAGGAGCATTAGATTAGGAACTTCAGAAGTTTTAGCAGTCAGATCATCGGATTCCCTTCCACCTCAACACCTGTCATTGCCGCTGGGTGCGTGCCTCCCTCCCTAAAGGAAATTGCTGGACTGGAGCTTACCCTGTAGTTACGCGGTTGAATGCATTCTGAATGCCAAAATCACGAAACCCCAGACGTTACCTTCAACAATAACTTGGTTTTTAGATATGACCCTCCAGGCAGCAGATAGACTATTTCCTGAAAATCTGACCAACCTAGGGAAAAATGTATTCCCTAACGAGTAGTATACCTGGATCACCTACCGTGAAGCAGAGCTCGTCAAGACCTTTCTCTGACCTTACCATCCACTTTTTATCCGATCACACTTAATCATTAGCAAATAGTCAAGGACTGCAAGATTTGGAGGGAAAATCTAACGTGGAACATGATTCCAAAATGGAAGATAGACTCCAACACACGTACACACATACACACACACGCATGCACATACAAACTTTAAGGAAACAGATTATGAATGAAGAAGAAACTTCAAAAAGAAAACTATTTTTTCCTCTGTTGAAGATACAGAATCTATTACACAAGAATAGGATGTTGTATTAAAAGGATTACTCAAAATAGCAATTCAGAACTTCCAGAAATTCAAAGAGCAAAAAGATAATAGAAATGTAAAATAAAAGTTAAAATATTAGAAGACCAGGCAGGTCTAGCATCTGACTAATGAGTTCCAGGAGGAAAGAACAGAGGAAAGGGAGGGGAAAAATTATCTTTGATACAATTCAAGAAATAAAGGATATGAACTGACAGCAAGAAATGACCCACCGCATGCTTAGGTCATTAGAAATGACTTTAGCATGCTTAGGTAGTTAGTTGAATATAAACCTCCACCAGAGTACATCACTGATATTTCAGAACACTGGGACCGAGGGGAACTTATGTACCTCTGGGAATGGAAAAAAGTCACACTCGTTGAACAGTTACTTGATTTTTACTCTCAACAACAATGCTTAAAGGAAGACGATGTAATAACCTGCATAATTCTGAAAGAAAAGGCTCTTCAGCCTAGAATTCTGTCCGCAGTTAAACTCACAAGGATAGAATAAAGACTTTTTATGATACCAAAGAAATTACCTTTCTTCGTACCGTTTCTCATGAAACTACAGGAAGCTACTGAAGAGTAAACTCATAAAAAGGAAGTAGGGCTCTAGGTAATAGTCTAACACAGGAGACAAAAGGAGTAATTCCCAGGAAGATGGTGAGTGAAGATTCTGAGGGGTTCTGCTTACAGCGTAGGCAATGGGTAGTTCATACTAGTCGTAGTGTGACCCAAGACCTGTAGAGAGTCACCGCCAAGATCCCTCCTGGCAGCTTTCCTCTTCTTGCTAGGGAACTCAGTGCTAAAGTAGGTCTGACTTATCTGTGCTCTGCCTCTGTTTAGTTCCTCTCTGTGCCAGTGGGCTTATGCTTATCTTTGTGCCCTTCCGCGTGATTTAACTGAGGACACTCAATTACGTTCACAGAAATGTTCTGTTTTGAGCTATCCATGAGAATTAGAAGAAGGTCATTGTGTGCTTATGAGCAAAGTATACAGAGCCGCCTACTCGCTTTGACAATATTTCTACCAGATTTCCACGACCTAGTCCACTCTGGCTCTTGTCAGATAGTCCAACTGTGGTGAACTTCCTATCTTCTGGTATTTATTCCTGACTTTACCCACTGACATGCCAGCAGGGGATCATGTTAACTCTCAGAGAAGCTGCTGCTAGACTTGCAGAAGCCTCCCTGTTCATGATATCTTTGGGGCCCTCTAAGAGTGGCATTGTTAGGTTCCTGGTTAATAGTCAATTTGCAAAAGCATATGATAATATTATTTAGTGACCCATAGATGTGTAGTGAAACCAAATTAACGTAAGTGATGGTTTTTGGGGAGATGAGGTGGGGAGGATAAGATCAGGAAAGAACATATGGTAGTATTCTAAGGTTCAGTAATATTCTATGCCTCAATCTGCATGTAAGTGTTTTAATACTATTTTTAAACAGTACATATATAAATTGTATATATTCTTCAGTATATGTTTCGTAATTTTAAAAAATTAAAACTTCTATTTTCTTCAAGTAACTGATGGCGTAATGGTGACGTAGGAATATCAGTACACTTCTACAGATTGATTAATTATAAAGTTATTATATGCATGGTAAATTCATTTTTCCCCTTTGAGATCTTTTTGTAAAAACAAAAAAGGAAACAAGCCAAAAAAGCCTGCCAAAGATAATGCTTTCATCTGTTCGACTCTTGACTAGGTAGGGAAAATTTTTTTATATAATATACAGACTGTCCACACTCTCTTGTAGAGATTGAAAGATTGGTGGACACTGGAGACAGTAGGAAATATTTTTGAGAGACTTTCTCCACAAAGTCATGGGTATCGCTATAGCCACTCCTGTTGGTGGGCCTTGTCGAAGAGTGCCACCTACTGGCAGAGGTCTATCTTCATTTTAGATTCAGCCTTTAAACTTGGTATATATAGGATTGAAATGAAAACCAGGTAGTAGTGACAGCCTGCCTGCAAAGATTGGTCACATTTGTGTGTGACTTTTATTCCCCCTAAAATAACTTTGCCCATCTTCACCCAGCACTTTAGATAGGTGGGAAAACCTGGAACTTTGGGACTACAGGAATTGCTAGTGGTGTAACTGGAGCAAAATGGTTACATGGTAGCTCTCTGAAGGTCAGTGGTGCTGGACAGTTTAGGAAGACCAGCAGTAATGCCATTTATATAGTTCCTTTTGCACATTTGCTTCTGGAAAGTAGAAATGTCTGAGGTTTTCTTTGGCCTTAAAACATTTTTCAACAAATATTTAGCACGTATTTGGAAGGAATAGTAGATTAAAGTAGATTCCTTAAGTATTACCAACTCCCTTCTACCAGAATTCATATCAGTTTACCTAATTCAGAAGTGATAATTGAAGATTTTTTTTATTTGTACTTTTTGAATACTTAAGAACTTTCAAAGCTTAAGCTGTTCAATTAAATTCCTGAGAAGTCCATAGCTAAGGACATCAAAGTTTTGTTTTTAAAGAGAGAAAACTTAAGAAGCATATTTGCATTCTGGTAATAGTCCAATAAAAAGCAATAATACCCAGGCCGACCCTGAACCACTGCCGCAGTTAAGTCCTGAGTATAGGCAGCCAGATCTCCCATGGCTGAGCATTGCTCCAATCCTGGCATCAGTGGCCATGAAAAGCACATGTGTGTGCATGCCCAAAATTCTGATGGAGTAGAGAAATGAAGGAAAGAAAGATTGCAGTGTAACCACGCCCTTTGAAGGGGTGCTGTCTCTCTTTCGCTCTGTGGTGAATGCATGGACCCTATAGACAAGGGGGGAAGAAGAGCAAAAATACTGTAGGAGAAAAGATTTACTGTTCGCTTGAACACCATTCTCGTAAGTTTTGCAGAACTTTGTTAAATATGTACATTGACACGTTAAAAGTCTTTAAATATCTATCTATATATTTAAACACAGAACCACTTTGAAAGAACATTTGAGAATCCATAGTGGAGAAAAACCTCATCTTTGTAGTATTTGTGGGCAAAGTTTTCGTCACGGAAGTTCATACAGGTAAGTAAAGCCATTTTTCTTCTAGATTAAGTAAACTGTTGAGTTGTCAGAAAAGTCACGATGCATTTTTGCATAGAAAAACAGAAAAAAAAATCATGACTTTTCCAGAGACCCAATAATATGTAAATACCATTGTGATGTGTGCACACAGATTTACTATTAATGTTCTTAAATATTTTCATCTTGAAACTTTAATATTTACACTTTATTTATTTACCTCTTTTTTCAAGTTAAACAGAATGTTTCTCCTTTGGATGCAGTTTAATTATGTACTAGTTTTGGTTATGACAGAATCAGTCTTGGCAACCTGAGTGGGAAAGTGATTCCTTTCAGTAGGATTTATAGAGATAGAGGATTATAGGGATAATAGTCATTGATTTCAACGAATTTTAATAATCTGAACCTCTTTCAACCTCATTGGAATACTATAAAATGAGCTGCATTTTATTTGCTTGGTGTGAATAGTAGTAAAATGTAATTTTCATAAAATAGGGTTCTTTTAAAATATAATAAATTTTCATCTGTCGGTGTGTAAATGGTATCCCTTATCCAGAATAAGACTAATCTTCAATTACTTTCTGTATAATTTGTGTCATTATCTTATGCCACTGGACAGTTACTCCGTCTGATTCTGATTCCTTCCGGGTTTAATTCTACTTTTGATATCTCTGACACTTGACAAGTCAGATCGATTGAGTGCAGTAGACTGAGTATCTAACAAATAATATCCAGAAGTGATAAGAGCGGTCGCAAATATTGAAATGCTTTCTCGAAAGCAGTGAGTGGGAACCTTGGGGTCAGGTGGCAAAAGACTGGGAAGGACTCTGAAAGTCTTAGAAACAGAGCAGGTACTGTGTGAGGGTGGTGGAGTAGGCATTTCAGTTTTTGTCATTTATTCATCATTTGTTCATTATGAGGCTTTTTCCTTCTGTCATTGGTTTCAATAGTCTTCAATTTTTTTTTTTATAGACTTCACTTACGAGTACATCATGATGATAAAAGGTACGAGTGTGATGAATGTGGAAAAACATTTATTCGTCATGATCACCTTACAAAGCACAAAAAAATACATTCAGGTAGGCCAGACTTTGTATGCTATTTCCAAAATCCTTTTAAAAGCCCCTGGAAGGACATAGTATTACATCATGTTTGTGTTGGCTGTAATTTTAATAATTTCATGTATATATTTATTACCCCATTGGAATGGTGGTTCTAAAAACTTTTTCAAAAATCATCTGGGAAAGACATAATTTCATGATACAGTGTTCACTGTAATTTTAATAATTTGGTCACTTTTTGTGACTATAAAGTTTCTCTCTCAAAGTTTCATTTTAAACAAATGCTCAAAGTTTGCATTTTGCATATGATGCAGATATGTACAATGCTTGCTATTGGGCCTTCCCTAAAAAGAGAATTCACAGTAATATTTATCACTTTGATTGGATTTGAAAGAAGCTAGCAAAAATTAGATATTTAAAGGGAAATGATTACAATTGGATGTTGAAGCTTATAGTACAGTGTATTTAAAAACCCTCTCTTTAGAAAAGAGTAACTTAATGATCCTGATCAATTTCAGATCGTTATACTGTATTTTTAATTTTTATATTCTGGGGATTTCTTTCATATTTTCCTCTCAGATTGATGTTCAGGAAATACTAAGAGAGCCAAGTTTGTGAGCACAGTAATGGGAAAAGAGCCGTCTCTGAGCACGGTAGAACAGGTGATTATTATTACTATTACAAACATAATTTAAATGCAAAATGCGCAACAGGTAGCTTTTAAATATTTTCTTAAATGATTTTAGTGAGGCAGATTGCAATTATCACCCTTTTCAAGAAATGCTAAAGGTCTGATGACATTTTTCATTGGAATTATGCAGTTTCATCTTCAGGAGGATAATTAGGAATTCTAAATTCCTAATTCTAGAGATCACATGCTTTAACTACACACTGAATTTGAGACAGTAATTTTTAAATACCAACGCTTTGCAACTGAATGTAAAAATAGAGATGATAAATTGGACTCATCTAAAAGTTTCCATTACATTTCGAGAAATTGGGCTCATCTAGAAGTCTCCATTACCTCTGTAGTTTGGCTCATTGTAAATGTAAGAAATCCTCACAGATGAAAAATCTTTTAAAAGTAAAGTACAAAGATCTGAAAATGTTTAGGCTTTTTTTTATAAGCAGTAAGACAGCCTCATCTTAACTCAAGGTATATTCATTTAAGATGTTTGGCATCCAGACATGCATGTTCCTAAAAATAATCCTGTGTTTTAAAATAATTTCATTTATCTTACTCTGCTACATTGAAAGGTAAGATTTGAAGTCTCCATCAAAAGACTACTGATGTCTTCTAAACCAAGTAAGAAAAAGATTCATGTCCACGATGTTAAAATTAAACAAATTCTTTGAGGAGAGGTACTTGGAAAGGAATATAAAGGAAATAGCCCAAAATGAAGGGTAGCTTTACTTTCCTGGTATGTTTTCCACCATGTTTGGTGATTTGTTTCAGAGGAAAAAAAATGAAATGCATATTTTAATCAAACCATTTGGATCTTTATTTTAGGTGAAAAAGCTCATCAGTGTGAAGAATGTGGAAAATGTTTTGGTCGTAGGGATCATCTCACTGTTCATTACAAAAGTGTACATCTTGGAGAGAAAGTGTGGCAAAAGTAAGTGTAAAGTAAATTTCTCATAATTACTACATCGACTTAAGTCTTGGGTGGAGGAGGAAAGTTATAACTTTTCTTTCTTTTTTTTTTTTCTTTTTTAGAGATTCTTGCTATAGGGCACTTGTACTTGATGAAGAGACAGAGACAGAAAGTGAGAAATCACCCCTCTGGGGGGATGGCCCTGCCGCCATCCCTTCTCCTCCATCTCGGGATTTGAGCATGTACAAACATGTGCCCAGCCTGAGTTTTAAGCTGCCGGGGCCAGGACAAGAACCACTGTTGATTACATGGGAGTCTAGCAATATAACCATTATGCCATCTGCTGGTCCCATATAACTTTTCTTGTTCATTTTGTTTGGGGAATAAATTAACAGCTCTCTTTCTCTAGCTTCTCTACAGACCTACACAAATTGAGCAGAGCATATTTTTTGTTTTTGCTTTGCCTTCATGAATTCAAACGCTGGGCAGTAGTAGATACTGAAGTTAACCACTAGTATAAAGTTTTGGTGTCCTTTAGGAATGTCTTCTATCTTTGGTGGTTGTTGCTCTTTGAAAGCTCAGTAATACTGCCTACGTATTGTACTTGATAAGATAGCAATTATTAGGGAAAGTTCTTACTCTGAATTTAACTTGTTTCTATTCACACCAAGCATTTCAAATGATACTTTATTTGAAGGAGACATGTGCTATCTTAAACATGAACTTTTTTGTACAATTTCAAAATCTGAGCTTAACTGAGATTAGTTCCTGAGGGTACTATGTTCCAAGAGCTCTGTTCTTTGCCTCAATATTTTCGGTAATGATGCAGCAGATGTGTTCCAAGGTGCCACAAGGCTTTATTTAATAGTCCTAAGCATCATCAACAAAATATACATGGTAAATATAAATGTAGGGGGCCAGCAGGTGGCGTGGTGGTTAAGGGCACTGGACTCCCACATGACCAACTGTGGTTCGAATCCTGGACCTGGCAGCTTGCCTTCTCACTCTCTCTCTCTCATTTTGTCCCTCTCTGGTCAAATTAAAATAAATAAAGTTAAATAAAGTAATTCTTTTATATATATATATATATATATGTGTGTGTGTGTGTGTGTGTGTGT